GCAGTGTAGTGACTCTTCCAGTTAAGTGGCAGTCTGAATTCAGAGCTAGAGAGCTGATGTCTGTTTAGTGTCCTTTCTATTATCAGTGTGTGGTCACTAGTTCAGTTTTTCTTGACTATTTAACAAAAGGTGTTATGTAAGGACTGAAGACGCAGATACCACCCTTAGTGAACTCACAGTAATTGGAAAGAACACACTCATTTATACACAGATGACACAGTTAAATCGGAGGGCCAGAAGTGAGGGTGTAGGCAGGGGGGTTTGGAAAAGGTGAGGATAGTTGGGGCCAGGGATGTTTACGGAAGAGGCTAGAGCTGGACTGCTGATTGTCCATATAGTTACTTTGGGCAAAAGACATGGAATTGTTAGGAAGTTAGAAATAAAGTGATCATTCAGTCTTCCCCATCCATGCAGAATTGTGTACCTTTACAGAAATTTCTTTCTGTTCATTTCATTCCTTAACTGGTTCCTGTCATTTAGGACTTTAATGTACCACCTGCCCTGAGAAGACCTCTCTTAACTCTTCCAGCTCTGTTTGATTTCTCTTGTTCTTTATGCCTAAAATACACTTTGAAAGTGAATATTTTTTGTAAGTATCCCAGTAATTTATTTGTATTTGTATTTAATGATAGTCTTTTTCAACTGAACTATAAACTCCTTGAGGACAGCTATTAGTTCTTATATAACAGATGTTATCTTCCATAGGCTGAGTTTGATGCTAAGCTCAGTGAAAACTTTTTGTGTTTCTTCCTATTTTGTTTTATAGGAATGTATGGTGAATAAATTCAAGAAAACATCTATTCGTAAACAGCAGACAAATAATCAAACAGAAGTAGTTAAAATAATTGAAAAAGATGTTATGGAAGGTAAGTATTTAAACAAAGTGTATTAGAAATTAACACATATATTTTACTTACCATAATCTATTTCAGTGTAGATGCTGCCCACTAGTGTGATCGAGTCATATGTGGTAGCCGTGAGTAGGTCATCAGAGGTGACCTCCTTTTCCTCTTCTCATGTTTACAAATTTATCACTACCTACCATTATGTTTCTCACTTCAGTTTTACAAGAAAAATCAGCATCAGCTTTTCCTCTAGGTGGAAGTGAATTCTTACATTCTGTCTTCTCACTTCTCATCTCTTTAAGGACTTTTGCTCAAATAGTGAACTCTTCTGTTTTTCTGTCTTTTTATTCCTCTTGATTCTGTCCCTGAAGCCTATGCTTTCATCTTTAAAAAAGAAAAAAAAACTACATCTTTAAAAAAAATTTATTTTATTTTATTTATTTTATTTTATTTTATTTTATTTTTATTATTTTTTTAAGAATTTATTTATTTTTGAGAGAGAGAGAGCACGCAGGGGAGGGGCAAAGAGAGAATCCCCAGCAGGCTCTGTGCTTTCCACAGCGAGTCTGACTTGGCTTGAACTGAGATCATGAACTGAGCTGGAATCAAAAATCAGATGCTCAACCAACTGAGGCACCCAGGTGCCCCTCTCTGTGAAGCTTTTAGAAGTTGATATTTCCCAGTATTCTGTTTTCAGTTCCATGATCTTCTCTTTTTATATTCCTTCCTTATGATTCATCTAATCTCAGAGCTTAAACTATCTCCTCTGTGTTGATTACTTACATACTTCTGTCTCTAACACAGATCTATCTTCTAAACTCTTCTCTTGAACATCGAGATGCTTATTGGCCTTTCTCTTCAGCAGTCTTACAAAAGGAATGTATCAAAAAAATTTTGTGTGCTTTTTGGGCTTATTCCACCCCATTAAGAAAACAAAAACTCAGAAGACTGGTCTTTCATTTTCCTTGGAAGGTAGCCCCACCATCTAAGCCATAAGTATAAAGTTAGTCCTAAGTAATTTTACTTTATTATATCTATAACATTGTATCTTATTGGTTCTGTCTTTTAAATATCTTCCAAGTCTGCTTCTTTACCTCTTTAAATATTGCATCTGTTCAAGTCTTTATCGTTCTCTTGGCAGTTATATTATTTTCCTAACTAGTGCCCTTACTTTCAGTCTTATCTCTTAAGTCTACTACATGATTGTAGTACTTCATGAAGTTTAACTGGGTCTCCATCCTCTATAGGATAAACTTCAAATTCCTATGCCTGGCATGCAAAGTTCTCCATGATATAGGCCCTGCTCTTTTTGTCTCTTTTGTCCCTTCTTTATTCTCAGTGCCCCAGCTATATTGAATTACTTGAAACTCCCACAAAGTGCCATTTTCTCTCACCTTTCCCTTGCATACATTATAATTTCACTTGTAATAAATCTTGATCACAGTTTTCAAGGTCCAACATATATTTTGTTTTTTGTGAATCCCAATTTTGACCTCTTTTTCCCTATCCTTGCCTACCCATATTCATTATTATGGAAATTCTTTTTTTTAGTACAAAAATCAACATTTGTCTTCTTTTATATTATATATTTGGGGGACAGACCCCTGGGACTCAGAGCAGGATTGTAGAATACGCAAGGAAATATAATGTAATTCTACTTTATAATTTTAATCTGTTATCCATAGTTTTAATCTATATATGCAGATTTATGAAACCTAGTAGAAAAACTCAACATAACCTACATATCTTGATCTTCTTTTTGGAAGAAGGAGGTATGAATAACCATAGAAATGAAATAATAAAAACTCATTTTGTCAAAAATAATATATGAATCATTACTTATTAATAACTGGCTTTCTTTTGTAGGTGTTACTGCAGATGATCACATGATGAAAGTGGAGACTGTTCACTGCAGTGCATGCAGTGTGTATATCCCTGCTTTGCATAGTTCAGTGCAGCAGCACTTAAAATCTCCTGATCATATCAAAGGGAAGCAGGTAAGTTTTGACCTGTCTTGATGAAGTCACTGAGGTGTTCTTTAATCCTTTATTGTCCTTTAAGGCTGTTGTTTCACACCTACCTGCTTACATACAGTCCTATTAATCCTATGTGTGAAAAACTGTAAAGATAACTAGAGAGGCAGTGTAGCCTAGTAGTTAAGTTAAGCATGGTGGTTAAGATTGGGCTCTGGAGCAAGAAGTCCTGGGTTGAATCCTGGTCCAGTACATGATGTGTTAAGCAAGTAAATTAGCTTTTCTTTGTCCAAGTTTCCTTACTTGTAAAATGGGGATAGATAATCATTCTACTCTTGCATGACTGTTTAAAGATTAAGTTAGTTACAATAGAAAAGACACTTAAAATAGTGCCTGACACATAGTGTAAGCATTCAGGAAATCATAGCTATTGAACTGTTTTTTTCATTAACACTTTTTTAAGTTGGTTCAAAACAGTTTTATGAGAGAGAGTGTGTGTTTTAGAACAAAACGGAAAGATTTAATCATAACCTACATTTTTCTGATGGCTGGGAAAAATAAAAAAAAACTAGCATTACCAGTTACTATCTATTGTTACATTTTTGAGTAGAATTTACTAAAATATTCTAGGAAAAATGTACTGTTTTCTTTTTGATTGGCATATTTCTGCTTCTAAATTGGTTGGTTTTACTTAGTCCAGTTTATTTCAAATAAATGTTTATATTGTGAGAAACTAGCTTGTTTGAGAAGCAAACTTAAAAATTCAAATATTAAAGGCTTAAGTTTTAAATAGAGCACACCTGAGTCTTAAATTAATATTTTGTATTGATGTGATTTTCATTTAACTTAGACTTGGTTAGTCACTTTGAGCACATATAATCTTTTAAAAATCTTCGTCCTTTCTCTTCTCTTTTGGCATTCCTTTGACACTTTTTTGGCAACTAGACTTTTTTTTTTTTTAACGTTTTATTTATTTTTGAGACAGGGAGAGACAGAGTATGAACAGGGGAGGGTCAGAGAGAGGGAGACACAGAATCTAAAACAGGCTCCAGGCTCTGAGCTGTCAGCACAGAGCCTGACGTGGGGCTTGAACTCACGAACCACGAGATCAAGACCTGAGCCGAAGTCGGCCACTTAACTGACTGAGCCACCCAGGCGGCCCCAGACATTTTTTTTTTTTTTAACATTTATTCATTTTTGAGAGACAGAGACAGAGCGTGAGTGGGGGAGGGGCAGAGAGAGAGGAAGACACAGAATCTGAAGCAGGCTCCAGGCTCTGAAGTGTCAGCACAGAGCCCAATGCGGGGCTTGAACTCATGGAACACAAGATCATGACCTGAGCTGAAGTCGGATGCTTAACTGACTGAGCCACCCAGGCGCCCTGGCAACTAGACATTTCATATTAACCTGTCCTCCTTTGTATAATACAGTCTTAGACTAACTACAGCCCAGAGGAAGACTATTATAGCAGTATGAAAAATTGTTCTTTCTCTTTTGATAGCATGAAAATTAGTAGTTAGAATAGTTAGGGTGGGGGAAAGTGCATGTATAGTAGAAAGGAGAGCAACTGTTTAGTAGACCTAGATGTGTCATATGTAGTAACTGAGTGAATGAGTCTGATTGGCTTATTGAATCTTCATTATGTTAATCATGGATGGTTTAGATTGTGGTCACAGTAGTTGTTGCTTTATAGCTTAATTTGCCAGGAGAGAAATAATTTAAATGTAGCAATTTGAGCATACAATGTTGTTTTAATTATAGAAATATTTTCATGGCATGGTTTTCAGGTACCTCACTGTGTTCTATTTTTCATAGGCTTATAAAGAGCAAATAAAAAGAGAGAGTGTCTTGACTGCTACAAGCATTTTAAATAATCCAATAGTGAAGGCGCGATATGAACGTTTCGTTAAGGTAAGACTTTAGGGCAAAACCTTTTTAGGTTACATTGTAGTATCTTTATAATCAAATGGTGACACAGTAACTGATATTTAAATATAGTGCAACATTAGGAAGACTTTTACTTAATATCTTGCATATAGGTAAAAACATTGTTTTTCCTAATTGTTGGGATTTGTTGGGAGAGGCAACAATAAGTCATTCCTCTCTCATTTCTTTCTCACCGTGGATCATTGAGAGAAATTCAGGAGTCTGATAGCAGATCATAATGTTAGCTTTATTCTTGATTTTTAAACAAAGGAGGACTTGAGGGATATGTCTTAACATGTGTAGTTACTGTGGACCTTAAGTTTATTTTATTTTGAGACAGAGAGAGAGCTGGTGTGAGTGGGGGAGGGGCGGAGAGGGAGAGAGAGAGCATCCCAAGCAGGCTCCGAGTTGCCAGCTGTGGAGCCTGATAATGGGGCTCAAATCCACTAACTGTGAGATCATGACCTGAGCCGAAACCAAGAATCAGACGCTTAACTGACTCAGTCACCCAGGTGCTCCCTGTATTTCACTTCCAAATTAGATAAACTTTTATCTCCCCAGCTTCTGTTAACTGGTTCAGCTAGACAGCAGTAGGCTTCCTTAGCTTACCACATGTGCATATTATGTAGAAAGTACCTAAACTAAGGAGAACTCTTCTAGAATTTTTTACTATGAATGTGATCCATGGACCAGCAATATTGGTATTTCCTGGGAGTTCATTAGAAATGGAGAGTTGCATTTGAGCAAGATCCCAATTGATTCAGAAACATATTAAAATTCAAGAAACACTGGTGTCGCGTTACTCAATGGTATCCCTTTGTTCAGCTTTCCTGTCTGCTGTGTTCCCTGATGTTATTCCCCAGAACATCCTCTGCCCATGGTCAGCTCTGGTCATTTCTTAAAAACTGTTTCAACTTTTAAGTGCTCTCAGTCTGACAGAATATCTTTTTAAATCTTTGTCCTATGAAGATATAATCAGTTCATCAATTTATCCCATTTCTTCAACTGTTTCTACCTTCACCCCCTTGCCTGGATACTCATGGACAGTCCTTCCAACAATGCAGTGCTGCCATTCCAAAAGTCCTCACTCATTCTTCCACCACTTACCAATTCCCAGCACTATGCCATCTGTGGTTAGACTGTCTCACTGCAAGTATCATGGAATTGTACCATTGCTGTGTTTGCCAGATTTTCGCTGCAGTTCACAGTAATTTTGCGCATTACCAACCGATGTAATGTGCTTCCTACAGTGACTGTTTCAAAGCTTTTCCACTTTTTTTCTTTAAAAATTTTTTTGAATGTTTACTTATTTTTGATACAGAGAGAGAGAGAGAGAGCATGAGCAGGGGAGGGGCAGAGAGAGAGGGAGACACAGAATCCGAAGCAGGCTCCAGGCTCTGAGCTGTCAGCACAGAGCCTGACGTGGGGGCTCGAACCCATCCATGAACTGTGAGATCATGACCTGAGCCGAAGTCAGACGCTTAAGCGACTGAGCCACCCAGACGCCCCAAAGCTTTTCCACTCTTAACCTGTTTTCAGAGATCCTACCACAGAAGTACATTGAATCCTGGTGTAATTAAGTAGGACATAAATCTCTTATCTGTTTCTACCAGAACCCACATATTTGCTTTTGTCATATGCATATGATTTTAGAAATTAGGTTACGAAAATGGGCCTTTAAGCGTTCCAGTTTATGGAATATAAAGAAATGACTTCAGTAATTTATTTATCCACTTTGGTATGAAATAGGTACTGAACAAATATGTCATGATTTGTCATAAGTTAAAAAGCTTCAGATTGTATTTATTTTTGATGTTACAGCAAATAAAAATTGCACTGGTAACAAAAATGAATATACTGATTTTAAAAGCTGTTTTTCCTCATGTTTTTAGGGTGAGAATCCTTTTGAAATTCAAGATCATTCTCAAGATCAACAAATAGAAGGAGATGAGGAGGAGGAAGAAAAGATTGATGAACCTATTGAAGAGGAGGAGGAGGAGGAGGAAGTGGAGGAAGTGGGGGAAGTAGAGGAAGTAGAAGAAGTGGAGGAAGCAGAGGAAGTGGGAGAAGGAGGAGGAGTGGAGGGAGTGGGAGACACAGAGGAAGCAGGGGACCAGGAGGCAGTGGGGGAAGGAGAGGCAGCCGGGGAGGGAGAAGCAGTGGGGGAGGGAGGAGTGGGGGAAGGAGAGGAAGTAGAGGAAGAAGCAGCAAAGGAAAAGCCTGTTGACTTCCCTGTTGACCAACCTGAAGAAAATTAAATAGAGGGTATTAGTCAGATTTAAAAGAAGCTTTAAATTTCTCTCGTAATGTGGAAAAGGGTAAGAATTTTAATAGTTTAAAATATGAGAGTTAACACCCATGTTGCATGCATTCCACACATTCAGATTTGTTTTATATAATTTCTAAATGTTTGGCATTTGTTTAATAAAATGAGGGTAAGACTATTTTAGTTTAGTTTTTATAGTTACCAACTTAGATTAGATAAATTGTTTGTATAATTTTTAAGCTTAATTTTTATTACTTTAATTGGTGTTAAGGATAACAGATGTGTATTGTTAGTATATCTATTCTAATCATTTGAACTTAAATGCTGCTGTTGGGAGTATATATTCAAGTGTGCATTAATGTTTTCAATACTTACCCTAGAAGAGATAAATTGGGCAAGTATTTTGTGCTCTGACTGTGTATTTTTTTACTGCATTGGACATTGAATAGTAATTTGCGTTAAGATACGCTTAAAGGCTTTTTGTGACCATGTTTCCCTTTGTAGCAATAAAACGTTTTTTACAAAAACTCTTTCCCTGGATTAGCAATTTTAAATGAAATGATTCATCAATTAAATTAGTATTTAAAATGAGATTTTGCCTTAATGTAGGAGTTTAGCTCACGGATATTTCGAGATGATTGAGAAGAGTTGAAGAAATTTACTTCCATCATTTTAAAAGTACTACTAAAATATTTTTTAACATATTTCAAGTTGAGGTCAGTCCATAACTGACTTGTTTATACTTGTTTTAATTCCTTTCTTTTCTTTGTGCCTATGTCAGATCTTGAAATCTTGAAAATACATTTGAATACAAATAATTTTTTATAGTTGTGTTAGTTCTTTTGTCATGTCTGTTTGTAGCTGAAGAACCAAGAAGCAAAAGTAATCACTTTTCTAAAAAACAAGTATTTCTTTCCTGAATATTTCTCTCCTTTTTAAAAAAAACTTTTTATAGTTTAAAAAAACTTCTTTCCGCTTACATACTGAAAAAGAGATGAGACTGACAGATGGTCTATTTTCTTTAACTTTTTTTTTTTTTAATGTTTATTTATTTTAAGAGACAGAGTGAGGGCAGGGGAGGAGCAGAGAGAGAGGGAGACACAGAATCTGAATCAGGTTCCAGGCTCTGAGCTGTCAGCACAGAGCCCACGTGGGGCTCGAAGTCATAACCTGAGCCGAAGTTGGAAGCTCAACCGACTGAGCCACCCAGCTGCCCCCAGATGGCCTATTTTCAAATGACCATCTATGTCACTGAAAAATAGTGCTCTTATTTCTTTGACTCTTTACTCTGGAGGGGAACTCAAATGAAATAAAATAGCTTCTCAAAATACTGAGGCATTGAATGGATGAATATATAGGAATATTAAGTAATCTTAAGGCATTGAGTGTGTGAATATATAGGCATTTGTAGAATTTCACTTCTTTGCATACAACAAAACTTTTAAAATTACATTTTTGGAGGCTGTGTTGTGGGCTAGATTTGCTTATCTTTAAGCTTTAAGTCATTTGTATCCATTTACAGGGATTTAGAGCCAAATACGACTGGAGAAAATTGGGATCCTATCTAAGAGTCTGTATTTACCTAAATAGGCTTAAGAAAGCTTTTGCGCTCAGGAGTTAAAATTTTAAGGATAATAGGACTTGATCTACCTTCTGTTTCTCATGTATTTAGTTTCTACTTTATTTAAAAATACTTGTGGAAGGGTAAGGTAAAAAGAGAACAGATCCCTTTGAGGTATAATTAGTGGGTTCTCTTGGCACTAAGTGGGTGTTTTTTTAAAAAAAGAATGTCCCTAGCAATTTGAGGTTTTAAACATTTGGAAAGAATCCTGAATAACAAGAATCTGTATAACAACTTCTAAGTAAATGTTTTGTTTTATTTTAATTTAAATTTAATTTTATTAATTTTTAAAAATGTTTATTTATTTAGAGAGTGTGCATGTGTGTGCAGGAAGGGCATAAAGGGAGAGAGAATCTCAAGCATATACCATACTGTCAGTGAAGAATCCGACTCGGGGCTCAATCCCACAAACCACGACATCAGGACCTGTGCCAAAATCAACAGTTAGACACTTAACCAACTGAGCTACCCAGGTGCCCCAGTTTTATTTGTTTTTTAAAGATTTTAATTTTTTTTTTTTTTTAACGTTTATTTATTTTTGGGACAGAGAGAGACAGAGCATGAACGGGGGAGGGGCAGAGAGAGAGGGAGACACAGAATCAGAAACAGGCTCCAGGCTCTGAGCCATCAGCCCAGAGCCTGACGCGGGGCTCGAACTCACGGACCGCGAGATCGTGACCTGGCTGAAGTCGGACGCTTAACCAACTGCGCCACCCAGGCGCCCCTGTTTTTTAAAGATTTTAAAGTAATCTCTACACCCAGTGTAGGGCTCGATCCCTGAGGTCAAGAGTAGCCTGCTCCACCTACTGAGCCAGCCAGGTCACCTATAAATGTTGTAGAGTAAGAGAGAAAGAACATGTGGGTAGCAATACTTGTGGGAAACATACAAAAACCTTCATTCAGACTAGCTTATTTGCAAAGTATTATTAATAAAGTATATTTTGTTAATTGTACTTAATTTAGAAATTCAAATTTATGTATATCCTGTTAGATAATTTGTAGTTAGGCAATTTATTTCATTTTTTAAATGTTTTTAATGTTTATTTTTGAGACAGAGAGAGACAGAATGTGAGGGGGGGACACAGAATCTGAAGCAGGCTCCAGGCTCTGAGCTGTTAGCACAGAGCCCAATGTGGGGCTCGAACTCCTGGATCGCAAGATCATGACCTGAGCTGAAGTGGGACCTTAACCGACTGAGCCACTCAGGCACCCCTGTAGTTAGGCAATTTAATTTGCTGGCAGATTAATTTTTGTGATCCTTAAAGTTTATATTTTCAATACTTTTCTGATAAGGATTTGTATGATATCTTTTAACTTTCAACTTCTGTTATCCAAGTATTACTTGTGTGTTTATTAAAAAACAAAACATGGGGCGCCTGGGTGGCTCAGTTGTTTAAGTGTTGGACTCTTGATTTTAGCTCAGGTCATGATCTCATAGTATGTGAGATGCCCTCCCCCACTCATGTGAATGCACATGCTCTCTCTGAAAATAAATAAACATTAAAGAAAAAGAAAGCATGTAATTACAATAGCCAAAGAAATTTATATATGATTTACACGGTTAAGCCGGATGCCTAGGGATCGTCCTATATTCTTCCCTTTTTATCACCTCCTACCTCCAGGCTACTGGAAAGTCTGAGTTTTCTACTTCCAAATTTTATCTGTCTGCTTCCACATCTGCTACTACCATTCCCAGTTCAAGTCCCCATCATCTCTTACCTGGATTATTAAAATAGTTTATTAACTAATCTCGTTTCTACTCTTGCCCTGCTAGATTCAGTTTTCCACACACAAGTGTAATTTTCTAAAAATAGAATTCAGGTAATACTAGTCTCCTGCTTCTTTTTGTATCTGTACAATTTAAACTCCTTATAGCAATCAGGCCTGGCCTAGCATTCCTGCTTTATATCATGCTATTCTTCTCTCCAGCCACGGTTGTCTTCTGTTTAAAAAAATTCATTTTTGGGGCGCCTGGGTGGCGCAGTCGGTTAAGCGTCCGACTTCAGCCAGGTCACGATCTCGCGGTCCGTGAGTTCGAGCCCCGCGTCAGGCTCTGGGCTGATGGGTCAGAGCCTGGAGCCTGTTTCCGATTCTGTGTCTCCCTCTCTCTCTGCCCCTCCCCCATTCATGCTCTGTCTCTCTCTGTCCCAAAAATAAATAAATGTTGAAAAAAAAAAATTAAAAAAATTCATTTTTAAAAATTTATTTTGAACGAGAGAGCGTAAGTGGGGGAGGGGCACAGGGAGGGGGAGAGAGAGAATCCCAAGCAGGCTCAGTGCTGTCAGGTGGAGCTGAATGTGGGGCTTGACCCCACGAACCGTGAGTTTATGACCTGAACCAAAACCAAGAGTCCAGCACTTAATGGACTGAGCCACGCAGGCACCTCTCTAATATTTTACAAAAGCATTAGAATGGCCTGTTTCAAATCTCTAGGAGTGAGAAAACTGGGTCTTGTTCTTGTTTTTGTTTTTTTCTCCC